ATTGTTATCTCAATTTGTCCCTATATATGCTGAACTTTCAATACTATCTTGCTTAGCAATTCCCTTCTTAATGTTCAAGCTTATAATGTCCTATTCTTAGTAGGGGTTGTACTCCTCTGCTTCTATTTGCCTGATAGTCACTTTACTCCTAATTATGGTTTTGTTTTTTGGTTTTTTTTTTTGTCATTTTGTTTTAGGTGAGCTTACCTCTTTCAGAATTTCCTGTAGTGCAGATCTTGTATTGGAGAATTCCCTCAATTTTTGTATGCCTAGAAAGGTCTTGATTTCTCTCCTTCATATCTAAAGGAGAACTTAGCTGGAAACATTATTCTAGGCTGGTAGTTCTTTTTTCTTAATAGTTTAAATATTTGATTCCAGTCCTTTCTAGCTTGTACGGTTTGCGCTGAGAAGTCCAATGATAATCTAATGGGTTTTCTTTTATAAGTTTCCGTTTTCTGCTCCCTGGCTGCCCTGAGAATTCTGTCTTTGTCATTGATTTTTGATAACTTTAATACAATGTGTCTTGGTGAAGGCCTTTTTGGGTTGAGATAATTGGGTGTTCTGTTGACTTTTTGAATTCCAAGCTCCAGCTCATTCCTTTGATTTGGGAAATTCTCATCCACTATTTGTCTAAAAATGCTTTCTAGTCTTTGTTCCTTTATCTCGCCTTTGGTAATGCCCATTATTCTTATGTTTCCTCTCTTGATGGTATTGGCTAGTTCTTGAATTTCTCTTTCATTATTTTTATTTTTCATTTTCTCTCTTCTTCCTTCTGATTTATGTCTAGCTTTCTGTCTTCGATGTCACTGATCCTTTCCTCCATTTGGTTGACTCTATTTCCCAAGCTTGCTATTTCATTTTTCAACTCTTGCAGTGTGTTCTTCATTTCCAGAAGTTCTATTGGGTTCTTTTTGAGGGTTTTGATCTCCTTGCTCTGCTCATCTAGTTGTTTTTTCAATTCCTGAAATTGTTGATTTGAGTTGTTTTAGATCTCATTGAGTTTTTTTCAGAAGTACCATCCTGAAGTCTCTGTCATTTAAGCCACATATTTCTATGTCTGTAAGCTTATTTTCTGGAGATTTTTCTCTTTTTTTTCTGAGACAACTTGTCATCTTGTTTGTTCATGGTGTCTAATGGACTATTTCTCTGCCTGGGCATTAATGAAAGTGTATTCTGTTGTTTTTTCCAGAAAGAAGATTTATTATATAAAGGTCGCACCTGGGGCTCCGTGGTGATGGGTCTGGGAGGATATGGGAAGAGGGGCTCTCTGGGTTGGGAGGGTGGGGTCTGTGGCTCAGCCTTGGTTTTCCAACCGGGGCGGATAAAAATCAACTGTTGTTTCTCTGTGGTCCTCTCCCGCTCCTCTGCCTTTTGTACTGATTTACTGGGCCCTGCTGCTGACTGCTAGAAGTTCCAGCACTTCCAGGCAGGCTGATAAGGGAAGTCGCTGCACTTTCTCCCCTCCCCCTCCTCCTGCAAAGAACTCCCGAGACTGCAAGAGGCAGCTTCTTTATTTCTCCCAGTCTACCACCTGACACCTGAAGTTCTGACCTATGGTAGCTCTTATGCGCAGATCTCACACTCAGACGTGCTGGTGTGCAGTTGGGTATTTTTTTTTGTTGAGTTTTAGATCTTCAGCTTATTGTTGTTTCAAGGGGAAAGATCTGAGGACATCTTTCACTCTGCCATGTTTCCCATGTTTTGTTTGCATTTGCTTTTTTGCCTGAACACGACATTACTCAGATTCATTCATGCTGTTGTATGGCTGTCATTTACTTGTTTTTCATTGCTCTATAACATTTTATTATATGACTATGCTGTACTCTAGCTATTCTCCTGGCTCTAATCATTTAGATCATTTATAGTTTTTATTATTATAAATAGTGTTTTCCTCTAATATTTGTGTACATGTCTCCTGAATACATGTCCTAGCATTTTTATGTGCATGGAGGTGGTATATATCTAGGAGTAGAATTGTTGTATTACAAAGTATGAAAATATTGAGCTTTAAAACATAATGCCAAAGTGGTGGAAAGTGGTGGTACCAATTTATTCTCTCGCCAGTAACATATACAAACTTATATTTCTTTACATTCCATATAACACTTGGTAATTCCAGACTTTTTAAATTTTGCCAGTTGATTAATGTAAAATGGTTATCCGATTCTAGTTTTCATTTGCATTTTCTAATTACTAGAGAGACTGAGCATCTCTTTAGATATTTTCTAGCCACTTGTGTTTCATGATTGCTGATATGTCTGTTTGCTCATTTTCTACTGCTTTTTGCCTTTTTTTCTACTGACTTGTAGACATTCTTTCTATACTCTTGATATAAAGTTTGATCCTTTGTGAATTACATATTCTTAATCTTTTTTCAATTACCTTTGTGGCAAATATCTTCTCCCAGATTACAGCCTTCTTCTTTTACTTTCTTTGAGGTGTCTTTTGATGAAAAATATGTTCCTTAACTTATTCTATTCTGTATTTTCCATCTTTTTTATGATAAGTGCTTTATATCTCTTCTTTAAGCCCTTTCCTACCCCAAAGCCAGGAAGAGCCTTTATTTCATTACATATTTTAATGTTTAGCTTTTGACATAAAGAACTTAAAGTATATGGAGTTTATTTTTGTGTAATGTGCCTGGTAGGGAAACATTATCATGCCTTTTTTCTTATAAACAATCAATGTTTTTAGGTCCTTTGCTAAACAGTTTCTTCTTTTCACAGTAATCTGTCATGACACCTTTGATATACAATCTAAGTTCCACTTATTAGTGGATTGATCTCTTTGTGTGCTCTCTCTTCTGATACTGCCTTTTCAGTCTTATATTTGGACATCGAGTTTACAGGTGTTCATTACAGTTGACACTTGAGCAACGTGGGGGTTAGTGGCACTGAATCCTGCACAGCTGAAAATTCGCATATAACTTTTGACTCTTCAAAAACAACTGCTAATAGCCTACTGCTAACTAGAAGCCTTGCTGATGACATAAATAGTTGATTACACACACTTCGTATGTTATATGTATTATATACTGTATTCTTACCATAAAGTAAGCTAAAAGAAAGAAAATATTAAGAAAATCATAAGGAAGAGAAAATATATTTACAGTACTGTGTGTATTTATTGAAAAAAATCCACATATAAGTAAACCCACATAGTTCAAACCTGTGTTGGTCAAGGGTCAACTGTATATTATTCACATATTTATTAAAAGAAATATATTACATTAAATTATAAAGGGTCATGCATAGACTAATGATGAACGTGTATCATGAATTAAAGATTATGATTAACCCAAATCTATGAACATAATGTTCATAAAAGAGTTGAAATAAATAATGCCACAAAAAACAATATCATACGTTTCTTGTCTCTCATTTATTTTCTAAGGATAAGTTTCCACCAGGGAGATGACTGAGCTAATGGGTACAAAATACTTTGAAAGGTTCTAAATGTACAACTTAAATGCTTTCAAAACAAAAACAAAAACAAAAACCACATATTTACTCTTGTGGCCAAGGGCCTAGTGGTTAAATTCAGAGCTCCACCCCTGTGGCATCCACGGTCTTTGTTTTTCTTTGCTTCAGCCATCTCCTTTGCTAGGTCACCACAACACTGATCTTTGTCTTAGAAACACTAAGAGACAGCATATTTCCTCTTCGAACCCTGTCAATACTTGCTAAAGCAGCATTAGGGGACACTACTGCTGTTCATTGGCCAGATTAAAAGTAACAAACCATTTCTGTTTCTCACATTGGGCTCCTGCTTTGATCTTTATTAGTGATATGTATATTCTGCTAGGTTGCTCTTTTCCCAGATATACTCAAAGCTTGCTCTTTCACCTTCATTAGTTATATCTTTACTAAGTTGTCACCTTCCTCAGTAAAGCCTTTCAAGACAACTCTACCTAAAATGGCAACCCACCCCTCACCCTTGATTTTGACTGTTTCCCTTTACTGCTTTATTTTTTCCGTCTCACTTATCACCATTTGTCTGTTTCTCTTCCACCAGAATTTGGAACTGAGATGTGTTTGTTCATGGTTGTATGTCCAGCTCCAACATCAATGCTTTAATGTGGTAGGTGCTTTGTAAATATTTGTTACTATGATTATGAACAAAGCACATTAGAGTAATTTGATATGTATGTTGGATGTATGAATGATGCCCAGAAGACTCATGGTTATTCTTACAGTTTTTGGTGTCTTTCCCACTGGAGGTCCAGGAGTAGTTGAAGCCTTGGATAGTCACATTGGAATTGCTGGCTGTAAGACAAAATTTTCCAAATCCAAACTTTTTATAAAGCTGAAATTTAACTTTGCTTTGATGTCCTGAATTTTTAATTTATGTGTTTG